CTGTGTGGGGGCTTATATTGCGAAAGTCCAGCTGTGTGGCGGGGCTTGGACTGTGAAAATCCAGCTGTGTGTGGGGGCCTTGGACTGCCAAAGTCCCGCTGTGTGCCTGTGTTTGTTTGTTTCTTTGTCTGTGTGTTTGTGTGTGTGTGTGTACGGGGGAGAATGCCCCGACGCGCTTCCCTCCGCAGCGCACAGGAGAGCGCCTCCCTCCACCCAGGCGGGCAAAGCCTTCGGGGCGTTTCTTTCGGCCCTTTGGGCCGCCCCCTCGCGCTCGTCCCTTAGGCCCGGGCGGAGTGGGCGGCGCTGGTGCTCGTTCCTCAGCCAGGACGTCGAGCTAACTGCGTTGAGCCCTGCCCGTCTGTCGCCCAGCCAGCCAGCGAACGAGCGAGCGGCCGCCGCGGGACGGAGTTGGAGTTTGTCAAGTGGCGTCTGGCGCTCAAGAGGAGGCCGCTGCCAGACGAGGAAGCCGCCCGCCCGGCTCAAGAAAGCTCGCTCTTTTCTCTCTCTGTCTCTCCCCCTCGCCTCACTGCCCCGCTCCGCTCTTCCTTCGCCATGGCCGAGGCGCCTCACCCCGTGGAGACCGACCCTGATTTCCAGCCGCTGGCTCGCCCGAGGTCCTGCACTTGGCCTCTGCCCCGTCCGGAGCTCGCCCCGTCCAGTCCGGGACAGACGCCCACTGCAACTCCGGCCAGGGCCGCGTCTCCGTCCCGCTGCGGGCTGGTTACGGCCCTGGGCGCCTCCTCCTCCTCCTCCTCCTCCGCCGGCGGTGACCTGCTGAGTTTGCTGGAAGCGGGCGGAGGCGACGGCTTCGAGGCGGGCAGCTCCGGAGCGGGAGACCTCGGACTTTCAGGCGGTTGCCTTTGCGGGGAGTTCCCGTGCCTTCAGCACCCGCCGCCGCCGCCGCCGCAGCAGCAGCAGCAGCAGCAGCAACAACATGCAGGGCCCGCCGCCTTGGCCTCCGTGACGGGCCCTCGCAAGAGCAGCTCTTCCCGCCGCAACGCTTGGGGCAACTTGTCCTACGCGGACCTCATCACGAAGGCGATCGAAAGCGCCCCGGAGAAGCGGCTCACTCTCTCCCAGATCTACGAGTGGATGGTCAAGAACGTGCCGTACTTCAAGGACAAGGGGGACAGCAACAGCTCCGCCGGATGGAAGGTTAGCAGGCCTTGGGGCGGGGGGGGGGGCTTGGGGGCGCGTGGCGGCATCGCCCCTCGCCCGGCCAACTTTGCTTTCGGCGGAGAGGAAATGTGGAAAGGCGCAGACTCTGCCTCGCCGAGAGGTAACGTGAGGCCGGCAGAGGAGAGGAGGAGGAGGAGGGAAGTGGAAAGAGCCGAGCTATGTAGCTGCCTGGCGTCTCCTCCGCTTCCTGCCCCCCCTCCGCTTTGCCCCAAATCTGCAGAGTGCCGGGCCCGGGAATAATCTCTACAGGTAGTCCTCGACTTAGCATCAACACCTGAACCCATAATTTATGCGGCTGAGACATTGGTTAGGTGAGTTTTGCCCCATTTTACCACCGCAGTTCTCAAGGGAAGGGCTGCAGGTGTTGAAAGATTAGTGAACTGGTTGTGAAGTGAATCTGGCTGCCCCGTGGACTTTATCAGAAGGTCGCCAAAGGGGATCACATGACACCGCAACCGTCATAAATACGAACCAGCAGTTGATCAGCGGACGCATTTTGCATCATGTGGCCATGGGGATGCTGCAGAGGTCCTGAGGGTGAAAAAGGGCCATTAAGTCACTTTTTTTCGGTGCCGTTGTAACTTTGAACAGTCACTAATTGAACTCTTGTAAGTCGAGGACTACCTGTAGTTGGCTCTTATGCATCACCCCTTCCTATTGATGCTGGGATGTCTTTTCATTTCCCACGGCGTCCTCTTCCTTCTTGGTATTCGCAGATGAAGAGCCGCTTAGGCAGTGCTAGGTTGAAGAAAGGGTCCCCAGATCCTTCGGTTCTTTCCTGTCTTTGTCCCAATTGCTATACATAACTCGCTAGACAGCTGGTTTCAAGCACAGCTGTGTCATTTCCTCTGGTATTTTTGAGAGGCCCTTGAGTGATCCAGGCACTTGAGCAGTTTTGCTTGACTGACGCAGCCTTTCTGAACTTGACGCTCTTCGAGCCTTTTCACACTCCCACACAATAGTCTAACACATCTGGAGGGCATCACGTTGGCTAAGGTTGGATTGAGGAGTAACTGGATATTACAGGTCTAGCTGTATTGCCCTGGTGCAAAGTTGACTTCTTTCTATATTGCTTCCACAATTGTACCAAGGCAGATTTTCTTCCCGTTCTGAAATCTACCAGAGTTCATAGCCATGGTCAGTTAATTCACCTTAAGCAGCTATATCGGATAGCTTTGAGAAAGTACATACTAGGAGAAACAAATACTGTGTAACAGTTCTCAACAACATAATTTTTTTTTTTAAAAAAAAGAAAGATCCTGCTACACTTATATTTTACTAATGTATCTTGGTGCAGATGTTACCTAATGACTTATTGAGATGCTTGAGCTTTTGGGGGTTCCTTCCAAATGGGCAAGTTATTACAGCTTACTAACGTTTGAGAAATTCTCATGAGAGTGGATATGTTTTTTTGGCTCCTGAATTCTCAGTAGCTATTTAAGTTCAGTAAAGTAGCGTATAAATATTATCTGCATACTTTCCAAAGGGAAAAAAAATGGGAGTCACCATTTTTTGACAGAAGGAAAAGAACTAAATTGTTAATTTATTAAGGAGATATACTATTAATTCACAACAAATTCCCAGTGTTATAATGTGATAATTACTGGTAGAAAAAAAGACAAATGTAGTAAGGGGGAGCAGTGGCAATGTTCATCAAAGTTAACCTTTTAGTGGTGCCCAGTATTGTCAATCCCAGAAGAACATTATGGAAATATATGAGCAGTAGAATTTGGTAGCAAGTCATTTGAGAAAAGGAAATAGTTCATTGGCTTTTCCATCTCCATTTCTGGAAAAAAAACTACTTAGCAGTGATCATTTGCTTTGCTAACATATTATTAAACAAAGCATAACCTCCAGATTTAAAGTTTAGTTTCATATTAAGTTAGCTTTAATTAATTCAATATTTTCAATTCTAATAAATAGATCCTATAAATACAATGAACAGACCAATAGTTTTCATTTTCAGGAAGGGAAAATAGGAAACACACTTCAATGAAGTCATGGACAATCCAGTAAAGTAGCTGTTCAAATGTTTACGGATTGTTGAGATTAAATGTTCAGTAAGAAACTATTTCCAGTTTCCTTTTGTATGGATATAATTTCAAATATAATTGATCTCTGTTGTTTATGTAGACAGCTATAATTTGAGTATGTCACAAATACTGAACTTCTCTATAGAAATTTGCTATGTGCTAATACAGTATGAAAGCAGGAAGTGTTCCTACCTTTAACTAGTTTAAATCAGGGACTACTGCATTCTGGTTTATACTAGGAAAGTTCAGCTTAATTTGGTTAATATTAAATTTATATCAAATAAATGTATCCTCTTCCAAGACACAAATAATTGTCTTGCATTTGATTGATGCACTTATACTTATTCCATTACATTGCTGTTCAGCAATTTTTAATGTTCAAGTAAAATCTAGTTTTTATAAATCTTGGTAATATATTTACTTTATATATCCTTGGCTGTCCATGCTTTTTATCTCTTGAAGATGAAAAATGCTCTTACAGTATATTACATTCTTTAGTTTTAAAACTTAAGTCATTGCAAAAACATTGCAAAAATCAGACAGCAGTTTGGCTTAGCAAAAGCTGTACATTTCATCAGTTTGCTCATGTGTCTGTATCCCTTGAATCATATAACAAAGTATAATAATTTGTATGGATAAATTAGAGAAATCAGATCTGGTCTGTAGGAATCCCAGTGACCACTAGATGGCAGGAAAGAGACACAGAAAATTTCATTTTGTTTGCTCCCATCTAGTAATTGTCCTGGGTTTTGCAGGCCAGATCTTGTGAAGCTAGAAAAAATAAGCAACCTCTATGTAAAATCTGCATACAGATCACAGCCTACTGCTCACAGTGCTGCAGAAATGCTGTTTGAGTCATCTGAGATTTCTGTCAGTAGAAGCAGCCAGAAGTCGTTTTCAGTGATTTGTCCTCTTTTTTGCATTTTCAATCTGTTCTGAAAGCTTCAAAACATTATGGAAAATGGTGTGGTGAATTGTAAAGTTAGAGGAATTGCCAAAAATGCTATATTTCTTTCTGCTCATGGTGGCCTCTGCACAAAAAAGGGATAAAAACTTGTGTTTAAAATTCTATATTTCCTTCAGTGTTTTGGGTGATATAACCTAATAAATCTAATCTTCAACAATCTCTAATTGTTAGTTCTGGAGAAAGATATACAATTTTGTCCTTCAAGCATCAAAAAAAATATATGTATGAATCAGTTTATTTGAATCTTGTCAGTGTTTTAGCTCTTCAAACAAGCTTGGAGCTGTAGGTATTCACAACCCCTCTGCCTGAACTGGTGGATTTGTCAATTTTATTTTTGAATATAAGTTTTACTCAAAAGGTAAATGAAGTAAAATAAAGTTATTCATCCATATGTCAAAGTGATAATGCAGATTTCAGTATGCTCTATAAATTCATAAGTCAGTCAGTGTTGATGACAAACTACCTGCTACTGCTGGTGAAAATTATGTAATATTTGTGTGTTTGATTCAGTTTACTTGTTTCCTGGACTCAAAATTGAGGACAATGTTATAAATCAATAAATTAGGAGCTTCAGCATATCCATGTGAATTAGATATCCCATATTGGAAAGGAATATACAAAGGAGCATTTCTCAACTTTAAAAAAAGAGATGATCTGTTTCCTGAATATTTTTACTTTCTCGTTACTTAAAGTACTGCATTTGTTGCTAATGAAAATGGTGACACTTCCATTCTTAAATGTTCCTTAAACTTTTGGGCAAAAATTGGCAGTTGGCTGTTTGGGGCTATAATTCTTGTGAAGCCAATCCAGGATAATCAGTGGTGAGAGATAACCTGAAGTTTAGAAATATCCAGGAATTATAATTCTATCCTTAGGGGTCATTTATTAATTCTGGAAAGTGAAAAAGTATAGAAGTTGCTCTGCTTCAGAAGCACATGAATAAGTCTCCACACCCCAACCCAAAAGAATGAAATAATACAGTTCTATTCCACATCAGAGTGGATTTTTTAAAAAGGAGGGTTTTAAAGAGACATGAGTATATCACAATATATCATTATATAAAATATTTTCAAACTATACTAATTTTTGTTTGAAAACAACAAAAGAGTTTCATTGCACCCGCTTTCTGAAATACTAGGGTTGCCTCAAGAAAAAAAAATTACCCTCATCTGGTTGTGACCATCTGTTCCAAGTTGTACTGCGTGAACTAAAAAAGCTTCTCCTGTTTTCTGATATTTTCATATTTTTAAAATATTGAAGTTGCTTTAAGGCTCTTTTGCATAGGCTGGGCAGGAGATAAAAGTCCTACATTTTCCCAAGTTTTTTGCAACTTGAAGAACTTTGGTGAAAAGGAACATCAAGATAGTTGGACAGTGGAATTGTTGTGAAGCCCTGATGTGCCTTTCAAGTGAAGTGAGAAATGAATTCTGAATTACCTGTATTTGTCTGAGGCACAGACATAAGAAAGTATACAACTGATAATTTCTTTGTCTGCAGCTCAGGTTTCCTGGATTCACTTGACACTTTGATGATCTCTCATTAGAGTGGAAAAAATGACAGCCTCTGATAGGAAACAGTGTAGAAACCCAGGACCTCTCAGTGATGTGCTAACAATGTTTCCTTCTCATTCTGTTTTCAAAAAGTAAAAAAACACCTTGTATTACTTTAAATCCCAGTCATCCTATGTTGCAAAATTATATATTTCTTTTAAACAGCCTTGCGTATATTTCCTATGCTGGAAAAATGGAAATTACTGGTCCAGTATCATAATATTTTGATACTATTTTTGCATTATTGGTTCATGCATGCAACACGGGTTTATCAGATTGTCTGTGTATTATACTTCCATGGATGTACACTGGTGTTTCAGGTGGAGCTCACAGTCAAGTCTTCCAGTTTAGGTGGAAGCTGAAATTCTTAACGTCTCACAACAAGAAGCTGTGTTAATGAAATGAAAACACGAAGGTTAATGAAAT